CTCTTCTTATTTCTTAACTCAGAGTAACTTTCACAGGTGTTGTCTGCCTCCTGTGTTGTGGCAGTTGGTATTGGTTCTTGCCTGTGTTTTGGTGTTTTATAGAGTGTAAATGTAGCTTGACTATATGGCAGTGGTTGCTACTCTTCTTGGGTAATATAGGAAGAGAAAGAATCCCCCAAATGTAGAAGGGGGAGCATAAAACAGCACCAGCATAAATAAATAAATAGACTGAAACTGCAGTCTATAATCATAGAAAAAGGAAAGGAGGGAGAGAAGAGAAAAAAAAAACTCTGTAGCTTAATATGAGTATAACGTCCTCTCTTCAGCTTCTTGCTTTCAAAGCTGCCTGAGAGATTTCAAGATTCCACTGTTGGTTGTTTTGCTATACCTCAGGCTTTAATTTTCAGCCTGTTCTGTTTTAAACTCTTTCCCTCTCTATAGCCCTGTCCTGGCCTTTCCTGTATTTAAAAACAAAACGTTCAGGCTGAGTATCTGCACATGTGTGGCAGAAGAATCCACCAGTGGTGAGAGTGGGGGTTATCTATTTGCTCAGGAACCCCTCTAGTCAATAGAATGGAAGTGTACATACAGTGGGGGGCGGGGGCCAATGACCAGATACCAAAAACCAGAAAATCAGAACAAAGAAAAGCCAACCAAGTGTATTGTCCACCTTTGCTCCAAGGTTCCCTTGGCCTTTTTCCATGGTGTGTCTGCTCCTCTCCTGCTTGTTCTTGCTGTTTGGTCTCGCCCAAGATGTCAGCTCCTGGCCTCCGAGCCCAGCAGATTCAAAAGTACATTATTTCTTACTTCAGCTTCAAGTTCCATTCGCTATAAGCCTTCAAACTTTCAAAATATTCCTAGCTCTCTGGTTCCGAGTTTTGGAGTAATGCCTTGGATCTGCTTTGCCTGGTATTCTGTGGTATTGCTGATCGTGAACTTCACTGTACCTCCACCCTAGCTGCCATCAAGCCCCCCTTCTTAATAGGTACATTTTAGGAGCAGTTTGGTAGTATATGGGGGGGGGGCGGATTGTGCATGCCCTTTCAACAATCCCACTACCAGATTTTCATCTCCAGAAGTACTCAGTAAAGTAATAAACATAATCAAAGAACTTGAAGAAAACCTGAATGTCCATTTTTTGGGGAATGATTAGATAAATTGTTATGTATCCTACTTATGGAATGTCATTCAATCTTTGAAGTGCTCTGATGGCCCAGTGATTAAGCACTTGCCTTCCAATAAAAGGTCTGTGGTTCAATTCCACCAGCCACGTGTGGCAGTCTGCTTCTGTTAAAGATTAGCCAAACCAAAACAAACTCATTGTTGTCGCGTTGATTCCCCCTCATAACAAGCCTATGTTGTTGTTAGGTGCCATCGAGTCAGTACCGACTCATAGCGACCGTATGCACAACAGAATGAAACACTGCCCGGTCCTGGGCCAACCTCACTACTATTGCCGTGCTTGAGTCCATCGATGCTGCCATTTGGCCAATCCATCTCACTGGGGGTCTTCCTCTTTTTCTCTGACCCTCCACCATACCAAACATGATAACCTTCTCCAGTGACTGGTCCCTCCTGACAATATGTCCGAAGTTTAAGCAACAAAGTTTGGCCATCTTGGCCTCCAAGGAGCACTCTGGCTGCACTTCTTCCAACACAGATTTGTTGGTTCTTTTGGCAGCCCATGGCACTTTTCAATATTCTCCAACACCATAACTCAAAAGCATCAATTCTTCTATAGTCTTCCTTATTCACTGTCCAGCTTTTGCATGCATATGACGTTATTGAAAATACCTTGGCTTGGATCAGGCACACCTTAGTCTTCAAGCTGACATCTTTGTTCTTTAACACAATACGTTGTTTGATTTCTCGACTGCTGCTTCCATGAATGTTGATAAGTGATCCAAAAAGAATGGAGTCCTTGACCACTTCAATCTTTTCTCCATTGATAAGAATGTTGGTTGTTGGTCCAGTGATAAGGATTATTGTTTCCTTGCTCTTTGATCTTCTTCAGTAAATGTTTTAAGTCCTCTTCACTTTCAGCAAGCACGGTTGTATCTTCTGCATATCACAGGTTATTAATGAGTCTTCCTCCAATCCTGATGCTATGTTTTTCTTCATATAACCCAGCTTCTCGGATTATTTACTCAGCATACAGGTTGAATAAGTATGGTGAAAGAATACAACCCTATCGCACACAATTCCTAATTTTAAACTATTCAGTTTTCCTGTGTTCTATTCTAACAACTGCCTCTTGGTCCATGTACAGATTCCTCATGAGCATAATTAAGTGTTCAGGAATACTCATACTTTACAATGTTGTTCATGGTTTGTCATGATCCACATCATTGAAAGCCTCTGCATAGTCAATAAAGCACAGGTAAACGTCATAGGACTAAAATTGCCCTATAGGGTTTCTAAGGCTGCATATCTTTACGGAAGCCAGCTGCCACATCTTTCTCCTGAAGAAAGATGCTAACCCTTCAGTTAGCAACCAAGCACTTTAACCATTGTGACACCAGTGCTCCAGTAAACACACCCCAACGGAGTCTAATCTGAAGAGTATAACTGCCCCTTTGGGGTTTCCAAGGCTGCACATCTTTCTCCTGAGGAATGACTGAAGGGTTCCAATTGCAGACCTTTGGGTTAGCAGTGGAGCACCTTAACCACTGCACCACCAGTGCTGTTTCTGTCAGGGTGACAGCCTTGAGGATCTTTGGGGAGTTCTACTCCGCCCTACGGGATTACTATGAGTCGGAACCCACTCAAGGCAACAGGCGTTCCCTCTTTCTAAAGAACAAAATAGTTCTGTTTCTATTAACAGACTTGCATGTGGTACACTCATATATTGAAAAAGTGATTTGAGGCATGTGAATAGTATAGTCCTGTTTTAAATCATCTGTGTATAAAACCTGAGGTGAGATGTCCCCACCAACTTGAGGGGTTCACCTCTGGGAAAGAGTGGGAGCTGAGATGATGGGACCCACTGCTAGGATGTTCACTTTCCAGACATGGTTTTCGCATTCATTGAGCAATTTCAACAAACATCTTAAAATCATTTTAAAAAGTTAAAAGAATGAGGCATTCTTAAATTTAAAATACTTAAACATTAAAAGATAAGAAAAAATAATCGAGATCCCGTACACCATTGCCCAGTGAGCCTACTGACATTTTAGAATAAAGCAGGAGGTAGCAGGGAGGGGATAAGTAGCAGACTTAATTAGGTAGAAAATATAAGGGAGAAAGGTATAGGGTATCCTTGTGGGGGAAGGGAGCCTGACTTTTGTTCCTTGGGTCTTTTGCCGGTTACTGTTTGATACTCGGAAAGCCATGTGCCTTTATGGTCTGGTTAGATTTTTCTCTCTCCATTCTGCAGATAGGGCTGACCTAGTTTGATTGGGAGGGTGGGGGATGGGGGTGGATTCGGGGTAGGGCTGGAGAGAAAGAATTCAGAGAAAAGTTCTGCCTCAATGTGAAGTGTTATTGTTAGAATGTTCATGAATGAGTGTTAGATCCCAGCATCTTAGAACCACTCTTAAAAGAGAAATAACACCGTGACAGGCCAGAACTCTGAAGTAAGCCACTGTGGTGAGCAGGCATAATATAAATGGAACAGGAGAGGTAGTGTGGCCAGGTAGAAAAACTGTATGTGCGTGTTTGTGTGTCAACCTTAAGAGCATTCATATAGCAAAACAGCAGTAACCTTTTAATAGGGCACAGTAAATTCGCCGTGTGTGTGTGTCTGGGTGCCAGAATGGCTGTTCTAGAGATGAGGTTGTTGGGTAGCTTTGTTATTAAATTCAAAGAGAAGCATCTAAAAGGAAACTAAAATCCCTGTTTTCGCTCAGATATGGTTCATTTTGGAGGCGCAAGATCAGATTGAGTTTGACACCGTCCTGTACAGAGCTCAGCAGTCTCTTGAAGCTGGGGCTGAGCTGTAGCTTGGCTAATGAGAAATCTTCGTCCTCTGCCAACGCCTCAGGGGCACCATCTCTTCCTCTTTGGCAATCAGGATGCAAAGAGCTCAAAGCAGAGTTATGACCTAAAAGGTCACCCAGAGTATTCATTTTGCAAATTCCCCACCAGGCCTTTCCAGAAAAGCCGAGCCGGTTTTACAGTTCAGCTAGAATCCATGCCAATGGTATTCTTGCTTCAACTTGGGGCAGGTTTTAACAAAACCTGAATGGTACTTCTGAATGTCCTACCACTGGCCATGAGGAAGAGGAGGAGATGGCCAAACACAGCTGAGAGTTTATTATCACGTTTATTCTTTGGGTGTGAAAGAGCAGTTGTAAAATCCAAATGAAATTAAGAGTTTAAGACGCAAAGCTCCCAACGTAAACGTTTTGGTCTGTTAAGTTTCTTTTTACCGGCAAGACACAATCAGAAATGCAGTGAGACTGTTCTAAGAACAATGCTTGTGCGTTCCAGTGGTTCATCCTGTCAAGCCCACAAGTAGTTGTCTTTCTCATTTGAAAACTATCTTGTCTATTGCATCTCCATTGTGTCTTCTGATTTAAAAAAAAAAAGTCTTGGACCTATCCCATTCCCAAGTCACTGCCACTCTTCATGCACACAGGTTAGCGCAGCAGGCTTACCCATCAGTCCAGTCATCAAGCTGCCTGATGAGGTCTTCTTTCCAGACTTCAGTGCTATGTGTCACTTCACTGCACAGAAAGAACCCTTCCGTGACCCGCAGGCCTTCCTAGTAGCCCCTGTAGAGAATGCCTAGCACATAGTTGCTGCTCCATGAATATGTTTAGGAAGGAACGAATGCATGCATTTTAGATTTTGTTTCTCCCCCCTCTGTGAACGTGTGCGTGCCTTTGTTTTGTCAGATGGGACCTGAATGAAGTCATAGCCCTACTACATTGTAAGGATTATAGTGAGGATGAATAAGAATGTTTGTATCAGTCAGTTGAGTCGCTGCCTACTTTAATACGTGCCTACTTTAGGTCTGCCTAAAGTATCCATGAATTAAAACTCCTGTGTTGTTTCAGGTCAGCTGTTGCCAGCAAACCGCAATACACCAAGTCCCATTGATCCGGACACCATTCAGGTTCCGGTGGGTTATGAGCCAGACCCAGCCGATCTTGCGCTCTCCAGCATCCCTGGCCAGGAAATGTTTGATCCTCGCAAACGCAAGTTCTCTGAGGAAGAACTGAAACCACAGCCCATGATTAAGAAAGCTCGCAAAGTCTTCATCCCTGAGGATCTGAAGGTAAATTGGAACTGGTAATCAGGCTTTGGGCAGGTGGAGAGTGGGATCAAGAAGCTAGTTAAAAGGGTGACCCAAGGACGATCTTATAATTTAGTGAGTGACGGAGTCATGACTTCTGATCCTATTTCTTGCTTCCTTTCTGAGTGTCTTCTGAAAAATGCCTTTCATGTCTTGGTACTGCACAGGAATTAGGAGACTCAGTAAAATGTTGAGAGAGAGTTGCAGGTTTACTTCCATCTTGGGCTTCAAATAGCTACGGGGAAAACCCATGAGGGTTAATCAAACCAAAATCTTTCAAAGTTGGAAAGAGAAGAGACATTATTGGAGGAAAAAGCATTTGGACCTCGTAGACCGCCCCCCCAAGGGTTACCTACCTTCAGAAACTTTATGGATCGTTAATGACTGCTGTTTTCTTGATACATCAGGGGATAACTGCCAGAGACTTGACCTCTCTCCACCTTGCCAACCATGTATGACCAGGGTGGGATTTATAAATTATCTCAGCCAGTGGCTACTTCTGGGTTGGTTATCTCTGTTGAAGGGACACATTCATAAAGCAATATAGATTTACCTTAGGAAGTCAAACATGCCTTTAAATTAATCTGACACATTTTAATGCTTTAGAAGAAGAAAATTCTATTTTCCAAAAATTATATACCATGTCTGAAAGTTCCAAAATAGAAGAGTATGTTTAGCCTTTATATAGAGTTTTTTTTGTTTGTGCTTTTCCCCAATAATATGGATACCAGGATGGTTATAGACATATTCTGGGCATTAGACATATTCTGGGCATTGGAACTAGGCAAAATTAGCCTTTTTCTAAATTCTGACCCCATTCTCCAAACGTAAATAGGGTTCGCAGAGAGAGGTACTCCTATATTGAGAAAACGGGAGTTGGAGGCATTGTGCTGGAACTGATTGAAACTCATTACTCCGGCTTTGAATATCTAGACAGAGCACTGGGGGAAACATCAAAGGTGTGGGAGCTGAAGAACTTGGCAGGTTTAAATCGCTGCCATTGCCCACATAGCTGAGGGGCCCCTCTGTGATACAGCACAGACTGGAGATTCACTGGTTCCAAATGATCGTGTTTCACTTGTGGAAATGGAGAAGCAGAAGGCAAAGTTAGAGAAACACTGCTAATATCAGTCAGGTATAGCTGACCCCCAGGCTTTCTAGCTTTCTAAAAGGGTCATGCTGACCCTGACTACATCAGGGGACCTTAGGTGATAAGACAAGAGTTGTTATCCTGAGAATCAGAAAAGGAAAGTGCATGATCCGAACACCAGAAAACTGTAGGTTCAGCCTATAGAACCCTCAGATGGAAGTTTTTTTATTGTTGTTAATGTGCTGTGGAGTCGGTTCCAACTCATAGCGAGCCTGCATAGGGTTTCAGAGGCTGTGAATCTTTACGGGAGCAGAAAGCCTCATCTTTGTCCCGCGGAACGGCTGGTAGTTTTGAACTGTTGACCCTACAGCTCACAGCCTGATTTCGTAACCAGTACGCTACCAGAGCTTAGGTTCTCCGTTTTCTAAGGAACAGAGAGGGTTAGACTGTGATAGAGAGGCACTGCTGCATTAGGTCCTGAGCACTTACATATACCTTCGTTCAATTGACTGCTTTCCCTGGTTTTAGGTTTTTAGTGGGACAATCCTGCCTGTATTGTGGAGCATGCCTTACACTAGACAGGCTGTCCACTCAACACGGATTACCCCTTGGCTGCAGGCGTGGGTTAAAAGGATGCTTGTACAGACTGATGGCTTTTCTTTTCAGCCAGAGCTTCTGAGTCTCCACACTGACATGTTCAGAGCAAAGGCAAGATTACTTAGTAACCCAAATCACCTTAGCAACACACAGGCCATGTCAAAACCATCTTGTGCTTGAATTATTCTTACTACTGCTGCCAGGACCAGCTTTGACCTTCTCACATAGTGGGTGGAGAGCAGGTAGGAACCATCCCCCGCCATGTGTCCTGGAAGCTTCAGGCCACAGACAACAAGCTGGTAGAAAGCAGGAAGCAAAGCTATACCGTAGTTCTCTCTAGCCACAGATTGAACCAGGTGGGAAGAGAGAAGGTACTGGTGTAGCCTAGCATGGGAGGAGCAAACTGTTAAGGGCCATCAAGTTGGTTCTGACTCATAGCAACCCTTTGTAGGGTTTCTGAGGAGCAGCTAGTGCATTTGAACCACTAACCTTACTGTTAGCATTCCAGTGCTTACCATACAGTACCACACCATGACTCCAGCAGCAAACTGGTTGAGTAGCATGGCCCCGGTCCAAACTGGTCTTCCCCACAGCTGCCTGAACAATTCATTGACATTGGTGTGTGCATCTCCAAGGAGAGTCAAGGGGTAGGAAGGATACAGAGATTCCTGATGAAAAATCCCCTTATTCACCTTGACTTCCCTAGCACATTTTAATGTCCATTTATTCACTTGGAAAGTACTGTTCAAGGGCTGTGCCAAGCCCTGTTTAGGAGCTGGGCATACAAGGGGAGCCAATCCCTGCCCTCATGGAGCTTCCATTCTAGCAAGGAAAAGGGGGTGTTGATCTGTCTGAAAGGCTGTGACTGGGAAGGCAGCATCCAATGTGAGACCCGCGGGAGGATGGTGGAGTAAGGCTGAGTTGGGTCATTGCTGGATGGGGTCACTGGGATGTTCTCGGAGAGAAAAAAGAAGGGGACAATTTTTTTTTTTTCAGGCAAGTGTAGGAGAGGGACAGCACTGGGGCAAAACTCGGGATTCGTTTCACATTGACCATTTAAATGTTACTCAGGTTAATTAAGGCTTAGAGAACAGTCCCAGGAAACTACAGTAAATTATTTGAATGCTATCCCAGTGAGTACATTGATTAGTGGCTATATTGTGCTTCTAATTACCAAAGACTACGTGCCCATTACATATCTAATAGACATCAGAAGGGTGAGAGGTAATGACCCGACCTCTTCTTGGCTTCCCACCACCCCCCCTTCTTCTAGAAGCACCACTTTTAATAACTTGGTATAAATCTTTCTGGTTCTCATTCTGAATTTATAGTATTAGCTTTTCCAAGAGCAGTAGCCTTGCATAGTTAACTAAAAGTTGCATTATTTCCAGCATTATTTCCACCCCAATGGTGGTATTATTTTCCAATTCAGCTGGGTCATTACTTATAACAGTTGCAGAGTAGAGTATTCATTTGTATGACTTTCTCATAATATATGGTGTCCTGTAGGGTTAGCACTAGACTGTGAACCACAAGGTTGACAATTCAAGCCCACTGAACGCTCTTTGGACACTCTATACAGGGTCACTGTGAGGCCCGACTACTTGGCACTTAGCAACAACAATGCATGAATAAGTTTTGTTTTTTTCATTTCTATGACAAGCAATGCTGCATTGTTTTGTTTGTTTGTTTGTTTGCCTGTCTACTATGTATGGCGTACTGGAGTGGCGCTGTGAGCTAATGCGTCAGACTGCAAAGTCATTTGAACTGCAAGGTAGGTGGTTCAAGCTCACCAGCTGCTCCTTGGAAACCCTATACAGGGTCATTAAGGGTCAGAATTGACTCTATGGCACTTAACAACAACCATGTATACCTGCATGAATATAGAGTGAAAAAATCTGCAAGTGGAATTGCTAAACCAATGGTTCATATATGTAAATTGATGTTAAGTGCTGTCAAGTCAATTCCGACTCATAGCAACCTTATATAGGTTTTCTGAGGAGCAGCTGCTGGTGGGTTTGAACTTCTGACATTGTGGTTTAAAGTCTAGTGCTGATCCTACAGCACCACACCATAGGTTGTTTCCAAATTACGGAGTTTTGGTGGTGTGATGGTTCAGGGCTAGGATGCTAAGCGAAAGGTTGGCAGTTGGCACCCACCCAGTAGCTCTCTGTGAGAGAAAGATCTGACCATCTGTCCCCATAAAGGTAATAGTCTACAAAACCCTATGGGGCACTTCATCACATGGAGTAGCTGTGACTCAAACATCACCTTGAGGAAGGGCACCTGACAATAACAGCATTTCCAATTTGCCTCCCTAAAATATTATGCCAATTGATATTGTTGATGTCACGCGTCATCAAGTTGGTTTCGACTCCTAGTGACCCTGTATATAGTTTCCCCGAGGAGCAGCTGGAGGGCTTCAACTGCCAACCCTGTTTTTCATAGTTCAGTGCTGATGCTACAGCTCCACACTATTTGTTATGTGCCGTGGAGTCGGTTCCAACTCATAGCAACCCTGTACAAGATTTCCGAGGAGCAGAAAGCCTCATCTTTCTCCCGTAGAACAGCTGTTCATGTTGAACTGCTGACCCTGAGGTTAGCAGCCCGATTCGTAACAACTACACTACCAGAGCTAGTTAAAGCATAGGAATGCACCTGAAAGAAAGGGGTTCTTAGCAAGGAGAGTGAATACACGAGGGTGTGAGCTACGCCCCTTGCTTTCCCTTCAGTCTTGGCTCTCTGCGATGTAGGTACAGACTGCTGCTATTGTGAGGGGAATACAGAGAGAGAGGACTCTAAGCCTGTGGTGGCAGGTCCATCTCGCTCCAGGAAGGAAGTCCTGAATCACAGACCCTTCTCTCGGGAAAGAGACACCACTTAAGAACCTGGGCTGGTGCCTCAGCATGACCCTGGAGCTTGCCAGGGCTCTGACTGACACTTGGCTCTGCTGAAATCTAATATCTTCTTTCTTTTTCCTTCTGTAACTAATGAGCAGGATGACAAGTACTGGGCAAGGCGCAGAAAGAACAACATGGCAGCCAAGCGCTCCCGCGACGCCCGGAGGCTGAAGGAGAACCAGATTGCCATCCGGGCCTCCTTCCTGGAGAAGGAGAACTCGGCCCTCCGCCAGGAGGTGGCTGACTTGCGGAAGGAGTTGGGCAAATGCAAGAACATACTTGCCAAGTACGAAGCCAGGCATGGGCCCCTGTAGGCTGGCATTTTTGTGGGCTGGCTTTTGAATAGATGGACAGTTTGTTTCCTGTCTGATAGCACCACACCCAAACCAACCTTTCTATCATCAGCACTTTACCAGAGGCATAAACACAACTGACTCACATATTGGTGTGCATCTGCGCGTGTGTTTGTGTGCTTGTATGTGTGTGGTCAACTGTGTGTGTGTATGCGTGTATTCCTTTGCACTTGGCATTTAAAGACTCCCTCTCCATCTTGTAGTTCCAGAAAAAAAACGGTGCCATGTTTTTACTGGATTTACGGGGCCCTCTCATGGAGTTTCCTCCCCTCTCCTTCCCTGTCCAAGTTAGCTTGGTATTCCATCTTCTGTACTCTTCCAAGACCGTTTACCTTGGAATCCCCCAAGAAGGGCCCTCGTAAACTAGAAGAGCTCAGTTGGCAAGAGTACCCACTCTTGTTTATGTTATATCTGTACATTACCATTGTTACTAAGGTGCACAGAATACCTTAGCAGTACAGTGCCGCTTTATTACTTTGTAGGTTGCTTTCCTCATATTTTCAGTTTGGGTGATAACTTGTCTTCAAATTTAACGTGCTGATTAGATTTATTAGGTCCCACGTTTCCTTACTGCTATCTACTAAGTTTCCTTTTCATTCTACCAACCCCAGATAAGTAAGAATACTATTAGACAACACAGTGTGTTTTTGCACTGTCTGTACCTAAAGCAATAATCCTATTGTACGCTAGGGCATGCTGCCTGAGTATTACTAGTGGACGTAGGATATTTTCCCTACCTAAGAATTTTTCACTGTCTTTTAAAAAATATATACAAACCTGAAAGTAATGCATTTGAGCATGCCCAGAACATCCCCAGGACAGGGAAGCAGAGGAAGTGCAAGGTCTAAGCACAAGGGGTTAATTTCCAAAAGAGTTTCTTGGAGCAGCTTTGGGCATTAGTTACATGTTTGGTTTGGTTTTCTCCTCCTTGCCCCATCCTCACTTCACTTTTTTCCATATCCCTCTGGATCTTCATAACAATTCAATTATTTAAGATTTGGTTTTCCCTATTGTAATATATTTTTTGTGAATTATACCTGCTGTTTTTTGTTTTTAATTAGTTAATAAGTTGGTATTTGTAAGACCCTGTTGTTCTAGTGGTGTATTTTTGAATGCCTCTGAATGATTCGGAAGCGTATATTGCTTATCCTATGTTTTCTTTTGAACGTATGTACTCTTTAAACAGTGGACTTCTGAAAAATGAATGTAAGACACTGGTGTATCTCAGAAGGGGATGGGATGGTGTTGTCACAAACTGTGGTTAATCTAATCAACTGAAATGTTTACTGTAGACCAAAAGGAGAGATTAAATTGTTTAATGTTTTTACAGAGTAATTATAGGAAGTTCTTTTTTGTACAGTATTTTTCAGATATAAATACTGACAATGTATTTTGGAAGACATATATTATATATAGCAAAGAGAAAAGGAAAATTATTCCAGGTTTTAAAATTATATAGCAAAGATTTATATTCACCAATGTTGTACAGAGAAGATGTGCTTTGGGATTTTGAAGTCTTTAATATTTTAAGCTTATTGCTGACACATCAGCATGTTTTCTGCTTTAAATTAGCATTTTATGATCGTACAAAGGTTTGCCATGATGAATCCCGCTCTGAAGTACATAAGGAACATTCGTACTTCCTGTTTCACCTCAGAAAAAAAGTCCGTTAATGCCACCCAAAAGCACAAAATGGATTAGTCACATATTTATTGGACAAGACAGTGTATTTTTTTTTTTTAGGAAAAACGTCTGCCACACAAGCTTTTGGAATGGCCCATTGCGGCAAGTGCTCCGAACAGTTCTGTTCTATGCAGGAGCAGGTATGGGATGTTGTATCAAGATAACATTGGTGCTATGTGAATGGTTTATAACTTGCTGGATGTTTGACTTTAAAGATGATTGTTCTCGTTTTATGAAGTTGTATAATGTCAAGAGAGATTCTGATGTTACTGCAAAGGAGCATTTGTGCTAGATTAAAAGAATCTTTCATCAATGGCATCTTCCAGTTTCCTGCCTCCAAAGTATCTAATTCTTGAAGGATCTAGTGGTTGAATGATCCTTGTCAGTCCACCAGCACTGATTTTCATAGGTGGGATGTTCCTACCAGTATGCCTGGTGTGGTGCTTGCTGTAGGATCAGCACTGGACCGTGAACCACAAGGTCGGTGGTTCAAACCCACCAGCTGCTCCTTGGAAACCCTATACTGGGTGGGTGGCTATGAGTCCGAACTGACACAACACCACCAGGTATCTATTTTGTCCCAAAATTATGGGGGGGGGGGGTAAGATAAATAAAACATTTGGAACACTTAAGCAGAACGTGAGTAAAAGATATTACAGTGGAAATAGTGTTGGACTTTTTAGCTGAAGAGGCTAATCGTTGCAGAATTATGGAACAGCAATAGTTATTAGTTATTAAGACTAGTTTAGTTATTAAGACTAGTCCAGACAAATCAATCTTTGTGTATAAATGGAGACATTTAGTGAGGAAATGTTTTAAGTGTGTTGAGCCTTTAAGTCAAGAAGTATTGAAGGATGGCATCTTGGACCATCAAATTAGTCAAAGTTAAATATATATATAAAACTATTTGAACACTGGTCTTCCTTGGAATTAGGTTGCTACCACTGTTTTCTACAGTAAAAATAAAAAGATGGAACAATCTTTTGTGTGCCATGAAAAGGGTTCAGAAACCTACCTGTCTTAATTTACACTCTGTTGTCTGTACAGGTGCCTTATATGTAGGTAATATATAACACACACGCCCACGCAAGAACATGGCTCTCCTGGACTCACTGTCTATCTGCCTAGGGCAGCTAACTAGTAAATAGGTCTGCTAAGTAGATGGGAGACCAACTGGGGTCAAAGGAATGACTGCAGCTGTGAATCCTGATGTCATTTTTCCCTTCATCATAATCACCTTTCATAAATTACTTGATTAAAAATGAACTTAAATCATTATCTTGCCAACATCATTTAGATATAGTTTGCAATGAGAGGCATAGGGCTTTCTGGCATAGGTGACTCGCTCATTTGTGACTAGAAAAGAAATACAATGGTTGGTCAGCAGATAGCTCTGCTTGTGCTACTACCTTGAGGAAATACGTAGGGAATGGGAGGACCGTAAAAGAATGCTTCCTCTTAAAGTGGTCACCACTTGTGACCTTTCCACATTAGTCAAAATCAATCAAGACTTTGCTAGAACCTCCAAGAAGGCATGACTGGAGGCAGATGGACTAGGAAGCTGCAGACTGGTGTCTAGTGGGGAGGTAGACCAGATAAGTGAAAAGGTTGTTTTTCTAATTCAGTTTTTGTGGAAGTCTCATAATTCTACATGTAAAATTAAAACAGGTCTGTTTCCAGAACAATCCAGACTAACCCCACTTTGACTAAAACACCACATTATGCAAGATCCAAAGTTTCACCTGGCTTTTTACAATGATTCATTGACTTCTCCCACTCCCTAAAGTTCCTTTTGGACTTGAACCACAAGGTCAGCAGTTCAAACCCACCAGATGCTCTTTGGAAACCCTATACAGGATCGCTGTGAGTCGGAACCGACTCAACAGCACTTAACAAGAACAACATAGTCCCTTTTAGGAAAAGCCAAACTTTACCTCAGAGTTCCTTAGAATGATCCCAAGACAGGTGAGCTTGGCCTGTATCCTGTATATGGAGAATGCAGGTAGGGCTGGAACACGAGGTCCACACAGCAGATGGTTCCAGGTTCACAGCTCCAACAAGTAATAACCACATCTGTTCTCAGTCTTGTTACTTTCCTACCAGAGCTTTTGAGGCTGCCTACTGGGGGCAGGGTCGGCAAGGTCTCCTCCAGGTTTTCTGTGTAAGAAAAAAAAAAGCAAAGCTTTACCCTAAACCTTAATGGACTGCAATTGGCTACTTAAGTCACAGTATGTTTTGCAGCAGGCCAAGCGTGTGCATGAATAGACATAAAATCTTTCATTTGGAAATACCTTACCATACCAAATGTAACAATCCGCCATTATTCTTTGGGTAATACCACAAAGACTGCAGCTGTTACAGGTACAAGTTAACGTGAGGTCAGTTGAATTGTACACCCTGATTTTGGTGATATTATGCTGTTAAGTCCAACCCTTTAATCTGTCTGTTGTTCTTATTGGTTAATAAACTTCGGATTTTACCTTTCATGTATGGATTTTACCTTTCATGTATGGATTTTACCTTTCATGTATGGATTTTACCTTTCATGTATGGATTTTACCTTTCATGTATTTTTTTTTTTTTTACAGTCTGTTAGCAATTGGATTATGTTCCCATGTCCATAACCAAAATAATAGAGAATGTTAAATGACATGGTTTTTGATAAAGTTATTGTTATGTGTCAGTGAGTCTGAGCCAATCAGTGATGCTGTACGACACAATAGAACTGTCCTTCCGAGGACTTCCTAGACTGTCATTCCAGGAACCGGTCTTTTGTCCTACAGAGTGGCTGATAGGTCAGAACCACTGACCTTTCAGTGCACCACCTGGGTCTGCATAAAAATGAAATACACTTAAAGAACTGAACATTTGAGTACTGATGTGCGATGCCAGATGCTGTTAATTACTTGTATAAAATATTCTAACCCCACATCCACCTATGAGGAAGGAACATTATTGTCCCCATTTTACAGAAGAGAAATTTAAATGTAAAAAAAAAAAAAAAACAAGGTTAGGTAGTTTACCTAATACCATGGAGAAGTCCTGGTGTGGTACTGTACGGTAAGCACTGAACTGCTAACTGCAAGGTCAGAGGTTCAATCCCACCAGCCACTCCTTGGAAACCCTATATATAGGGTTCGCTGTGGATCAGAACTGACTTGATGGCATTCAACAGCAGCAGCAGCAACCTAGAGAGAGCATGGTGGCTCTGTAGGACTGCCATCTAGGTATAGAGGGGGCCCCACCCCGTGACAGAGGGTCCTTGTCTTTGCTGACCAACAATGACCAGGTTGGACAGAGTTTCACACAAGCAAAGGCTTCAAAGATTTATATAGAGACAGATAGAGCCAGAGGAGATGAGGAGGGTTCTGAGGAACACTACTCCTATCGTGTTAGCCTTTTGTTTGGGGCAGGGAAGACATGGAACCCTCTCCTGTTTATTCATAATTCTCCCCAGGAAAGGGGCAAGGCTAA